TTTGATTATTAATTTTCTGTTTTTATGTTTGTGAAACTTAATATAACCATAGTCAAAATACTTAAGCAAATCAGAATCCTTATTTTTAAAATTATTTAAAATAAATTTTGTTTACCATCCAATCTATCTAAAGCATAAATTTATTTAGAATCTATCAAATATTTTAATTATTGTAAATATTGATATGAGTTCAAAAGCTTCTAAAAATTCATTAGTTACTTATGTATGTAATTTAGAATCAGACAATTTAGTTTCTATTTATTTTTCCTTCTAAGCACAAAAAAATCTTAAGTTATATATAATCTTACTAAATATACTTATATTTCTAAAACAACAACCAGCATAAATGCAAATAAGACAATTAATCAAAAATTTAATATATTTAAAATATAAAAGATTATAGTTAAATTCAGAGAAATAGATAGAATCCAATATATCTAAATGATAACTAAATCGACCATAAAAACAATAAAACAGACTAAATATAACATATCTAAAATTATTTATATAGTTAAAGTAATATAATATTATAATATAAATTAGACATACAAACTATAAATTAATTTAAAAATTAAAGTAAATATCAATTAATTATTATTGTATATTTATTTTATAAATATACATTTCCGTGCATGAGCACGAGAAAATCACCTAGTATTGTTATATGAATAGATTTTGTTTTTTTTTTCTATTACCATTGTTTCATTTTTTCAAATGAAAAGAAAATTTCACTAAAGAAATTACAAACAAAAATCAAATTTCTTTAATATTTAAATTAGGAGTTATTTAACTAATTTTTTAAAAAATATTAACAGTTTTATGGTTTTTTAAGCGAATCAACGAATATCATATTGCAAATTAATAACAAATTTTAGGATATTTACCGAGTTTTATCAAATTTTTAATTAATAAAACTTTCATTATGGAATGCACCGGTTCAACTATGTGTCTGGGTCAGATATGAAAATACTACGTGAAAGTCAGCGTTATAATAGAACATTTTTAAATATTAAAAAAATTTTAATTTTTTTTGTGTTTAAATAATTAATTTAAATAAATTTTATCATAATGGTAAAATTAAATTCGTGCTTTAAAATGCAGATCAAAAGATAGTATAAATTTTAAATTTAACACTAAACTTATCAATCAAACATATAGTATTTCGTAAAAATATAAAATATTTAATTCAACCTAATATATGTTAAACTTACGATGGATATTTCATTAAGGCTAAAATATAATAACTTACTAGATTTTAACATGCACGTCTATGCAGATATTTTTCATTTTATAAATGTATTTGATATTATTACAATTTTTTTAAATATATATTATCTATGTTAGTATTATATATTACATAACTCTATAATATTATTGTTTATAATTTTTATTCGGCGTTATTAATATATAGTGATTTTCTTGATACATTTTACTTTGTTATTAATTTAAATTACTTACTAATATATTATCAAGTTAGGTACGATAAAGTAACGATATGAAATAATCAAATTGATAACCTCCTTCAAAATATATTTTTCTTTAATTTATACATTTTTATATGTAATACATTTTTAAATATGATTATTTATATTACAGAAAAGAAATATGTTTAGTATAAAAAAGATATACTTTAAAAAATCAGGGAATGCATCGATTAATTGAATATTAAGGCTGGACATAAATGTTTGATACTCGGCTTGTACTCGTTACTTGACTCAATTTGGTTTGAAAAAACAAGTACTTGCTTCAATCAAGTCGAGTAACAAGTAAGCAGATTTTATTATTTGCAAGTACAAATCAAGTATCAAGTTCATTTTAATTATTAACTACTTGTTTTGTTACTTAATTTATTATTTGTTATCTTGACTTGTTATTTATCATATATTATTTTGTTTATTAAATATTTAGTAATATTTTATTAGTTAATTAAAATTTATGTATTTTATGAGTGGGCAGAGTTACTTGTTACTTGCCTCATATTCACTACTTGGTTGGTATACGATCCTTAAAGTCGAATACTTATTTTAACCAAGACGTGTATCAAGTAGTCTATTAAACTACTTTCAAATACAAACAAATATAAAATAATAAAATAAAACTAATTATTTCGCGTTGTTTGGTTTATTACTCTTTTTTGTTAATGAACAAAGATATATATTCTTAAATTATAGTAAAACAACTCGTTTATTTTTCAATTTTTATAAGTGAATCAAACATAAGTAATATATTTACATAAGCATTTTGGAATTTTTTTCTTTCTTAATATAATCTATTTCACGAATGACCAAAAACAGAAAAAACAATGACAAAATAAAAACAATGACATAGTATTTATATAATAAATTTATTTATTTTAAAATTTCAACTAATTATCAAATAATTTACCAATAGTTATCAAGTAATTTGTAAAAAGTTTACAAGTAACAAGTAATAAAACAAGACAAGTAACTTGCAAGTCTATCATTTTTTTTCTCAACTACTTGAAACTTCAAGTACTCGTTTTTAACAAATCAAGTACAAAACCAAAATTTGAATACTCATACAAGCCAAGCCGAGTACTAAGTATACCGAAAATACCAAGTGTCCGGCTTGTGCCAACCCCTATTGATTATAGATATAACTTTGTTAAATTATGTTACTGTATTAGATAACCGAGTTAGTTAAATTAGGTTCGGTAATGTTTAGTGTCCAACCAGGCGGGCATATCCCCTATATATTAGTTTCAAAGTGATTTTTCATATGTCTACTATAAAATTATTTTTACAAAAAAATGATAACATAGCTAATAAGATTGACGACATGGATTATAGTTAAATATGATATGGACAATTACATTTATTGCTGATATAGATTTTTGTTAAACTTTATAGAATTTAGTGATGACGGATACATTGCATTTAATGTTGATTTATATTTTGTTAAAATAAATCATCATTAAAAATAAATATATTGAATATGCATTATAAATTTCAAAACTTATTTAATTTAACTTTTCTAACTATACAATTTTTATTACTAATCTTTTCAAAAATTTCTACATCTTTTTTTAAAGATAATAATTTTTTAATCATAATATCATTAGTTTCTTTTAGATATCGATAAATTTTATAAATATTGTTTAGTTATAACTTTTAATAACTATATAATTTTTATACGAATTTTTTTTAGTAATTGTATACAAGTTGATTTAATACATTTAACCAAAATAAATAGATAAAAAATATCTAAGATTCAAATTTTAAATTTATTAAATATAGTTTAAAATAAAGAAATTTATTTTTTTCTTCATTTTGTGCTTAATAAAATTAAATTTATATTAAATATTTTTCAAAATAATAAAATATACAATGTTAATAAATTTCATTTTAAATATAATTTAATTTTAAAATAGTTTATCACTGCACATGATGCAGGAAAGCACCTAATATCGTAAATATATGAAACATGTATGTTTTATATAAGTCACGCGTGATTTAATGTAAGTGAGATGAATAAGTCCAAATTTAAATGATAAGTTTAATACAGTAGATAAAAAATAGGATCCTAAATTAATAGATTAGAAGTAAAATTCAAATTTATATTTGGTTATTATTAATTTAAATAATCAAATATGTCATATTAACTAATTCTTTAAGTGGTCTTACTATGACTTGTTAATGGCAGATAAAATAGGACCATAAATTAATAGATTATATTTTTTAAAAATCGATATCATATTTTGGCACTTTTGAAATTATATGATTGAAGTTTATATAATGACATATTGTATTCATAATGGCAGGTATCTCTAAGTCTAACACATAATCAATCAACTTAGTGACAAGTAACATATATACAAAAATGAGGTGTAAAAAGAGTTATCATATCTAATATATTAAAAAAGCAAAGAGGAACCAAACATATACATATTTGGTGGCAGATGATATGATGTTGATAAGAGGAAAGTATAAATCAACTTAAAGCAAAGTTTAATCTATCTAGTAAAAGAGGTCCAAGTAGGAGTTATTGTCTGCTAATATATGTGTATATATACAATCGGTTTGCTTTAATCGAATATAACATTATTCAATAGAACATAATCGTTGTATATATACAATCGGTTTACTTTAATCGAATAGAACATAATTCAATAGAACATAATCGTTTGGTTTACTTATAATAGAATAGATTTTATTGGTTTAATCTAAATTGTCTGGTTTTAATTTAATTGTAGCGTGAATATAATTAATTGTAACTAACTCGGTCCATAAATTATGTAACACACTAACAAATTCAAAACAGTCCAAAACTTAAATGACAACTTTAATAGTAGATAAATTTAGGATCCTATTTTAATAGAGTTGATTTTTAGATTATGATCATATATTATATCACAGGTTAGAACATAAAATATGACTTTAACTTATTTCTAAATTTAAAGTTGAGAATATAAAATTGTAAAAATATATAATACTCAAAATTTGCACTTATAATAAGTGATTTTCATATAATTATTTTATATTTGATTTTTTTTTTATTATGTGCATGTTGTAAGTAAAAAAAAACTAAAATAAATACACCAATTTGAACATTAATTATGTCTATATTATATTTTTTTAGCAAATAAATTTTGTTACAATTACAAAAAAAATTCGCGTGTTAGCGCAGATAAAAATCTAGTATATTATTATTGGGAAATACATTTCAAGAAAACCACCATTACTGATAACTTTTATTTTCGTGTTCCCGCTCTCATTCTATATGCACATCATGTGGGTGTAAGATATGTTTATTTATCATGAATTATGATGATGGTGATTTCTGGTGTGTCTAGGATGCATGCATATAAGGGGAATTAAATCTGAATTCCAGTTCATAGGTTTGAATTACTTAGTAAAATATCTTTACAAATTGCAAACTCAAACAAATTTACAGTTAAGAAAATAGTTTTGGTAAGATATTTAAGGTTATGGTTCATTTGGATAGTAAATATAGGATTTGGTCACTAAGTAAAAAAAAACTTAATTTTGGATTGCAAGAAAGTAGATGGAAAATGGTGATACCCAACAAGTTATCACAAATATCAACACCATCCGCTGCTGCCACCAGCTCTCTCCGTCTTCCCCCACGGCAGCGTCTCCTTCTTCCTCAACCTCCACCACTACCACCTCCTCTGCCTCTACCGTCTCATTCGCGCTGGCCACGTTCCTCGCATCCGAGTGGCAAATCTCACATACTCTACAAGCAAAATTACTTTATTTATAAGTTTTACATTTATCCTTTATTGATATATCAATTTAGTACTACACACCGTAACGAAGAAAATAAAAACATTCAAAAACAATCGCACGAAAACAAAGTTAATGAGATTTGTTAATTCAATAGTTAATAATTAGTGGTAATGAAAGAGGAAAATAACATGATCAAAGAGATGATATATATAACAAGAAAGAACATACTCATTTCCTTTGAGTTCGAACCAAGTCTCAGCACATTGTCGATGAGCAAACGCCAAGTCACCCTTACACGAACATCCCAACTCAATCAAACCCTGACCGTTCGATCCAACCTCCAATTTGCAAATCCTACACACACCCTTCTCTGAGTCATCACTCAACGAAGAGACACTCCTCGAATGCTCGTTGGTGTCGCAGTCATAATATGCGTACGTATTCGAGTGGAAGCATGAAACGACATCTTCACCGTCTGTGAACGACAGCCGTCGCTCTCCAATTCTTCCTTGTTCTAAGTCGACGTGTGACATTATATTGGACGACTAACTATACTAGTATTATGAAGAAGCGATAAAGTTCAAGAATGAATAAAAAATTTTGTCCCATTAATCAGTTAAATAAAAGGAAATAAGTTTTTCTATGCGTCTGTCAAATTGAAGGATCTTTCCTATCTTAAGAAGATTCTGTACATTTGATTTGTACCTTGTTTATTCATGCGTCGTATGAGAATAATATGACTATATCCATATCCTAATATAGACAGTCATCTATTATTTGAAGAAATATAAAAGGTAGTTTAAACAGTGAATCATATATTTGAAATTTAACAAAAAGAAACTTGAAAGTTTTGAGCAAATACTATACACAATTAATTAATATTACATATTATTGTAAAAAGAAAAAAATATATTGATAATAATCTAAAAACTATAAAAAATACAGTTACGAACTTGACATTGGATAAATGATATAGTGAACTGAATTTATACGTTTGATCGACTCTGAAAATGCTTTTATAATTAATGCACTTGGATCAATTGGCTACTAGAACTAGTCTCGCAAGAAGTTTCAACCCTCCATCTCCATGCGTATGGTAGCACATGAAACTATTTATGGCATTGTTTTAGCAATGCAGCACAATAGCGATTTATTGTCTCAGCAAGCTATCTTTAAAAAAAAAAACATGATCAACTCATATGTGATGCGATTCTCACCAAAACGAAAGAAACAGCTTTGGTGAGTTAATGTTCTTTGGCTGATCTTGTCTTGTCTTTTGCTCAACCGTTAGGTTCTTTCTTATTTTTAATTTTATTTCTTTTGACGGAAAATATACTCTAGAGGTTGAGATAAATTTATAAATTCTCATTTTTCATGATCACCATTTTAAAGAATCTCCAACGTATTATCCCATTTAAAAAATATTTATAATAAAAGTTATATTATTCCAACCTGTTTCATTAGAGCACAGAAATAGAGTACCGAGTAAAAATAAATACAGCAAAAAGACTCAATTCTATTATATTTTGGAGTAATGAATAAAAAGGCATTACTTCAAATAAAAAAAAATGTACTCAATAAATAAACAATGAAGTAGAAATATTAAAAATATTTTAGTTCCAATTCTATTTTGAGTGAAAAATGGAATGAGTTAGAAAAATGCTCTTAATCTAGCAGACCATGGTTGACGTCTTAACTTTAAATTTTTACTCTTTTATTAAAAAAAAACACGATACGATTCAAGAGAAAATGAAACAAAAACACATGTCCATGCTCGAAGATGTACAGTACAATCGTATTTATTAAAAATAGATATTACCAAATTTATAAGTTACAATTGCACATGGCATATATATCGAACATGATAACAATAACAAAACAATGATATTTCCAAAGTATTATTATATGAGGAAATGGTAAGAAACAGAACCAAAAATCAAACTCACTCTGTATCGTCTTCTCTCATATGAATCAATTGATGAGCTAGCATCAAAGCATATTAAGAGATATGATCATCAATCGAAATATTAAACATAAATCATGACACACGTGAAATAAATAACATTAATTTTACATAGCAGCCGGAGCTAGAGCAGGCCCAGGAGCAGAGCCGGAATCGAGCATTTCCAACATCGAACGGTGGGGATTTGTCCGTTGAGCATCACATAGATCAGGTAAAAATGCACCTGCATGTCGTCAATCGGTACGTTACGTCAAGTTTACACTTTAAATCGTTGATTTTATTTAGTACTATAATAAGTACGAACCATAGGAATATAGGATGCAATAGAAAAATCATTGTTATTCAGATAACAGTTAAGGTTAGTGAAGCATAACAATCAAGCTCCTACCAAAATTCCTTGCTTTTACGACAAGAAGCATCAGAAATATAAAAGTGAGTTTCATGCATGGACGTGACAAAGAATCTACTGAAATAAAAAAAAACACACACAAGTATATGACTTTTTACTAGTTACTTTATTCACAAATCACAATCAGCCACATTTTTCATAAAGCATAATCAGCCACATTAAACATCAGAAATACACATTTTCGACTTTTTACGGCAACAATTTTGATTTTTTTTCTATTTTGGTAAATATAATGTCAGTTTTCTTTATAAAAAAAATACAAGGTTGTTTTCACATTTTCGTATCTAATATGAATTAAGAAACCTCAATTACGTAAAGTTAATGGATCTAATGGTAGCTATGATTGGAAATGTACCTTACTTGTTTCTACCTATTTATTTATGGGGACATACATTAATTAAGTTGTATAAAGCATGACCCTTATTGTTTACAAAACATTCAAATATTTTATCAGAATATCAAAAAAAATGTCAACGTGTGCATGAAAGACTAAAAAAATTAGAAGCTGAAGATCGTACCTTCACCGGCGGCGAGATTGAAATAAAGATCAAGAATGTTAGGGCAGTAATCCAAACAAGCCGAAGAGCAAAGCTTTGCGGCGAACCCTGCCTCCATCATTGTGTCCGAAGAGATTCCTACGGTTTTCCGATCAACACCACAAGCGGCTACACACTCATCGCTCTCCACGTGGTTCACAATTCCTTCAACCTCCACCGCGGAAGTCCGGCAAGTGTATTCTCCGGCGACGTTAGCTGTCTCCAATAAACATCTTTTCCCGGCAGCTGATATCGAGAACGCGCACATATTTGTGGGCAGATTCTCGCATATGATGTCTTCTCCTACAATTGTAGGAAAGACAAAACGTTAACTAATTGAAAAAAATAATAATCAAATGTTCGTATTTATTTTCCTATAGTTTATCTCATAGACAATTTGCTAAGAACTTTGATATTGAAATTGATCATGACTTAAAAATGGAGATGATCATATTGGTCTTGACCATGATATTATCAAACTACCGGAGCTTTCTATACAATAGAGATATGTGTACGTACCTAAAGCAGCATGGAGAAGAGATGAGAGAATGAGAAAGATAGGCAATTTGAGGGAAGAATAAGACATTGCTTCTGTTTTTTTTGTTGCTTCTTCTTCTTCTTCTCCTCTTTCTCCTTTCTTGATTTTAGGGGTTTAAAGTTTGATGTTGTCAAGGGAATAAAAGAAGATGTTGTGGGTTTGTGAGTATATATATATACAACATGTTTTAAAGAATGGGTTGTATTTATTATTTAATTATTATTTTCATTATAGTCGCCTCTATATATGGTTTTACTATAATATACAGTACACAGTGTTTTTTTGTCAACAGTACAATTATATTTTACATAGTAGTTGCAAATTATTTGTATTACGTTGTGTGACTGGTCATTTCTTTTTTTTATCAACAATTGGTAATTTCTTTTCATTTTACCAGTTCATGAATGTCTCTATAATTATATGTATTTAATAATTTTTTTGGGAAATGATCAAAACATAATAAACTGAGCACTGAGCGCCCGATGGAAAGTTGATACGTGTTACGGAGTTAACTATAGGCTTCTGTCGATATTCGCACATAGCTTAGATGAAAACAAATATGCGTTCCTTAAAACTTATGTTATATACTTGTGTTTTTTCTTGTACCCAAAAATTATGTATTGTTTTGACTTTATATTATTGACAGCTTCGTTCGTTTTGGTCATCTAGACTTTTTCTCGGATTCTTCAAACTCGTTACATGATACTATATATATTATTACATTCTAAAATGCTTTTATTTCTGTAAATTGGCATTTTTTAATATTTCAACGAACGTATCAAAGACGTAAACTATTCTAAAAGATTTAGTTGAATCTTTTTCATTACAAGACTTTCGGGTGAGTGGCTTTCCTGGAAACAAAGCGACGTGCATAGATGTGTTCACGTCCGTATTTGACTAACGCGTTAAGCTGTTTTTCTTCGTGAGCAAACAACACGTTAGTTTGTTCAGATCGATATCAGATGAGTTTTGAGGGAGAGTTATAAAATCAAGTATTATAATTTGTTATTCATAAAATGTAAGATTAGACATTTCTTGCCAAAGATGCTTGAAAAATAAGATAAGAAATGTAAAGCAATGTTTTATAAAGTTTTGTAATAGAAAATCTTGTCACAGACCTTGCTAACTCTCTACATCTACAATCTTTGTTCTCAATATATATTCTGGTATTGCTTCCATTGACCTAGTAAACTGGAAACTTCTAGCGTAGAGAAAAATACTAATGCAGCATCACGTCGCATCTTTATAACACAACGTGAAGTTTCATCCAGTTAGTCAATTCCAAATATTGAAAACTCATTAACTAGTAGCGTGATCAAGAGCCGAATCATGTCCTCCAATCACTTGTTCAATATCTTTAGTTTGGCTTCGTATAAAGTAATCTGAGCTGCTCCGGTAATAATAAAAAATTCGATTTTAAATTTCCTTCGGTTTGTTAAAAGCTAGTTTGCGCGTTTAGGTATCAGTTAGATTTGTGTGATTTATCAGGTATCAAGTTTTCGAGTTCAACTTCCTAAACTTCATCCATATTTTATATATGTTTGGATTAGATATGGGTAATTATATTTCGGAATAAAAAAAATCGTAACATATTTTGAAACTATTTTTTATCCGAACTTTTTCGGGTTTAACTAATTATCAGTGAATTCAGATAATTCTACAGTCAAATCAAAGAAAAATGAAATTGAATAGTTGGTGTATTTATTTAGATTTCAAGAACTAGTTTCGAATATTAATTGAAACTTTCGATCGGGTTTTTAGATTTTTAGGTTTTTGGAATACCCATTCAAGTTCATGTTAGAATTAGATAATATGCGATATCTGAAAATCTATGAAATTAAAGGAGAAATTTATTCTGACATAACATTTAGTCATGTGTGATATTAAAAAAAAAATATCAGTGATAACTAATAAAAAGGCTAAGAAATTCATTAAACATAATTATGTAAAATAGTATCATATGTTTCTAAATACTATAATAATTAAAATTGTATCCAAATAATATAAAATATTAGCTCTTACTTTTTAAAATATTTTTTTAATAATCCTAATACAAATGATTTGATAATGTTAAAAACTGGTTAAATAAGATGTTAAAATAAATAAATTGACATTAAATAAATTTTATACTAAAAATTAAGTGTTTTGCATGTACATGCGGGATTAATAATTATAATTATATATATATATATATATATATATATATATATATATATTGATACATGCATTATAAATTTAATGACCACCATACTAATTATTAATTAAATTTTAACCATTTTAATTTTATCTTACTTTTTATTGTTTCATCATCATTTTAAAAAATACACTATTATCTATAAGATTAAACTACATATCAAACATATAATAAAATAAAATAAGAAAGTAAAACTTCATCTTTTTAACTATAATTATCATTGTAAATTACCTCTTTGAACCAACAATATGCATGAACTACCAAAACAAACTTTGAAACACACAAAAAAAAACAAATTAAAAATAATGTTATAATAAATTAGAAGAATATTAAAAAGAAAAGAAAGTGGAGATAAGGATAATTTTTTATTTATTTATATACTAGATATATGCAAAACATTATCTTATTATTTCATAAATTTTATTTTCTATAAAACAAAATTGGATAATGATTAGGGAACCCTCAAAAAATAAAATGACCAAAATAGCATCTTTTTATTTTGAAATTTGTAGTTTTTATTTTTTATTTTTAAAAATTTGAAAACCTAAAGCCAAAATTCCACTCCTTAACTCTCAACTCTAAGTCTAGATTAGTTAACTTAAGCGTATAAGGGAATACTTATTCTTTAATAAAAACTTATTTTGGTCATTTTATTCTTTGAAAGCTTTTTTGTGAAAATAAATTTAAAAAGATTATCCAAAAAAATTTCTTTAATGATTATCATTAGGTAATATCAAAAGACCATGTGCTTCCAACATAACATATCTAACAAAAACATTTAGATCAATACGTATTTCCCTTTTTTTGGTTTGACAATTTATTTATTATAATTAATTTTTATATTTGTAATCAACCAAACAATAAATAAATATAGTTATTCATTAAGAGTAGCGAAAACCGTCTTAACTTTTAAGGTAAGAGTACAAATGCGAAAAATCACATCATAAATATTATTATATATAGGTAGATAAGATTTAGTCAATTATTGTATTTGATTTACTATACAAGAAACATTCAAAATAAACATCCCATATATTAGTTAGTTATTATTAATATTAATCTAAAATAAACACTCAAAATAAGATTTAACCAACATATATTAGAAAAATAAATACTAATAAATAAGATAAATATAGATCAGATTATCCTAAGTCACATGTTTGCAGTTTTCAATAAAGTTCTAAATAATAATATAGATTATTAGCTTTTAATCTGCGCTTAAGAAGAGATATGGTTAAATGAATTTATAACTACTATATCTGTAATAGTTAACAGTTTTTATATTATTAGTGTTTCAATCTAGTACAATGTTTTCATTGAATTTTCATATCCGAGTCACACTTGTAGTCGAATTGATATATCCATTTACTCGTATATAGTAAATATGGGATACAATAAAACGAATATGGTAAAAATACCTTAAAATCAATAATTGTGTTATTAATATACTGAAATGAATATGAATTTGATTTTTGTTTTCAATTTTTTTGATATATCAATAAATATCTGACTTGCATAAGAATAACTTTTTTGTACGTAAAATATGATCACGCATTTATGTTATTTGTAATTTGTTGAAATCTATTTGAAGATAAAGCTCAGGTATGTTTATTATCAAATAACAATTTTTATTAATTTATTTGTAGATTAACTATCAAACTACCCAAATATAGAAAAAGTGTTAAAATTTTTGTTCAAATTTTATTACTAGTATAGATTAAAAATCTTTAAAAAATCAGTTTGAGACAAATGTTTTATTAATTAAAAATCTATACTATAAAATATAATTAATTTTTATTTACATGTATTTGTGTATAAAATAGTCTTCAAAATATTGGTGTTTTTAAAAAAAATGAATTGAAAATATGTCTGAATTTAATTGAGTTTCTAATTATTTTTAACTCAAATGGATTGTAATAGTGATAGACGATTTGTTAAACTAATGGCCCAAGCCCATATTCAAGATTAATCTCTGCCGACAACAAAGTGTAGATCGTGTCTTGAAATAGACAGATCTAAACTCTAAAAATAATGTTCAGTTCTATAATTGACTTAAATTGTTCAAATCTATAGTAATGTTCCGTATTTTATATTTAGAGTAAAAACCGGAAACATATTCTATAATTGACTTTAATTTATGTTTTTAAATTTTAAAACAGTGTGATGAATAATGTGGTGAATAATTTCAAATATTACGATCTTAGGATATGTAATGTAACGTATTGATGTTTTTGAGCTCAGATTGATTATTAGGATCTTCTTAGGTCTGGGGTTTTAACACTGTAATGTTTGATTTTTGAATAAGAGTTTTGACTCAGGAAGAGAAGACATGTAAGGTTAATATGACATATCCAATGAGCTTTTATTTTAATAGGCATAATTTTGATGAATGGAATGATAGAGTATAATTTTCATAGTTCGTAGCTAAATAGAAAAATTAGGTTTGGTATACTAGATTTAATCAGTCACATTAATGAGGCATGTTTAGAAGTGCTTGGTGCCTCACAGGAATGATATGATTTTGGTATAACGTTATAGTCGACCAAATATGTAAGGTCCATTATTGTTTGGTAAATTATATTATGATTAACAGATGAAAGGAGTAAAATGAAATTTATATATGGGATAATGTTTTGATAATAATAGAATAGTAACAAATATATATGGTAAGACCAAAAAAAAAAAATTTAATGAAAGAGTTCAAATAACTTTTATAAGTAGATTTTTTAAAACTTTTTCTCTCTGAATAGTATTAATTCAAGCTAATAACTTAGCTAAATAATTAAAATATGATAATAATAAAATTTATTAATTAAATTATTGAGAACATAACAAATAAGTAAAATTATCTACAATGATAAGGAAGCAAAATAATCAAAATTAACATGACAAATATGGGCCACGCCTAGAACAAAACAACAGTAAATTATGTTTTTCGTTGTAGTGTTGGGTTGGGTTGCTAATCAGGCTCAATAGTTTATGCAGTTCTGGTTGTCAAATTCATTTTGTCCGTAAAGAGCACCGCCACGTGTCATCTCAGAAGATAAGTATGGGATCCACATGAATCGAATCCTTCGTCCACCTCACAATCCGATCCTCTCTCCCACCTCCAATACACAAAACTTCCATAGCTTCTTCAAACCTTTTTTTTTCTCCAAACACATACGCAAGAAAAAAGAAAATGGCAGCAACCGCCGTAACAACATCGTCGTCTCATGTTCTTCTCTCAAGCTCTCGCCACGTGGCGGCCTCACCTCAGCCACGAATCATTTTCCCATCCGTGAGCGGGAAACGAGTAGCAGTAGCTGGGAGAAATATTCACCATGCTCCTGCTGGTGGAGTGAAGTGCATGGCGGTTGCGGCTGATGCTGCGGCGGCGGAGACTAAAACGGCTACGAGGAAGAAGAGTGGGTATGAGCTTCAGACATTGACGAGCTGGTTGCTGAGACAAGAGATGAAAGGGGAGATAGATACAGAGCTGACGATAGTTATGTCGAGCATAGCGATGGCTTGTAAGCAGATCGCTTCCTTAGTCCAGCGCGCTGGAATCTCTAATCTAACCGGTGTTCAAGGAGCTGTTAACATTCAGGGAGAGGATCAGAAGAAGCTTGATGTTGTCTCCAATGAGGTCAAATATTCTTTCATGAACGTGTTTTTCGATTTTCTTTAGGGTAATGACTTTTGGAATCGTAACGTTTTAGCTGCAACCATGCTAAATCCTTTAGGCCTAAACAAATGAAAAATAAACAATTTCACATGTTTTCTATTTGGATCATTAAATATGTATATTTAACTATACATATACACACATACTGACATACATGTAGAAGCTGAGTAGTGGAAACACTTCAAGTTCTTGGCTCTCCAAAATTATTTCAGGTTTTGATTAGAGCTTTTCTGACCTTACTTTATTTTTCACTTAAAATAATGGAGGTTAGAGTAAATTTTTCTCAACTTTTATTCAGTTTTTATTTTATTTTACAGCAGAGACTATTCGAAAATGGAGTATTTATACTCTCAGATAAAAGTAAAATTAAAGTTATAGAGTTACTCCAATTTAGCTGAAAAGAGTAATATTTAATTAGTATGCAAACTTCTTCTTTTTTTGGTAAAGTTAGTAGGTAAACTTGATAAGGTAGACCACATAGTTTCAACCTACAAAATACTAAACCATAGTTTATACATGATGGAAATGGTTGGTTTGATAAGAAAACAGAAAATATGACATAATAAAAAGATTAAACAAAATATATGACATAATAAAAGATTGAGGATGGTGCAGGTGTTTTCGAACTGTTTGAGATCAAGTGGAAGAACGGGAATCATAGCGTCTGAGGAAGAGGACGTGCCAGTGGCTGTGGAGGAAAGTTACTCCGGCAACTACGTAGTCGTGTTCGACCCTCTTGACGGTTCCTCCAACATTGACGCAGCCGTCTCCACCGGTTCCATCTTCGGTATCTACAGCCCTAATGACGAGTGTCTCCCCGACTCCGACGACACATCCGCTGTAAAATTAACTACTCTCTCCTTCACCTTACACCATTTATTTTATTCAATTACTCTGCCTGATTATGAGATAAAGCATAGGCAATTTGGTTCATGGTTTAGTTTTGGTATTTAGTTTTCTGTTTTAGAGAAATAAAATTCGAGCCGATCAAAACCAGTTTGTAATTTGATCTAGTTTGATGCATTTTTGTTTAGATTTTGGTCAAATTTCGTTCGGTTTTATTAAATTGTTAATGAATCATTTAATTTATGATGTCAAAATAGGGTCACTCCTAAATTAGGGTCCTAATATGACACCTTAAATTAAATTGTTCATTATCAATTCTAAGAAATAATTACCATACTACATTAACTGATAATGAATCATTTAATTTAAGATGATAAATTTTATTAAAAAATTTAGATTATTCATTTAAATTTTTTTGGTTTAAAATAAGAAAACCAATCAAGTTTTAGACACATTTTGGTTTAGTTTGGTTCGAATCTGATCCGGTCTGGTTGGCTTGGTTCATATGGCCACTTCTAAATGGAACACAATGTAGAAAACAAAAGACTAACCCATGGTTGTGTGTTGTTTCCAGCTTGGGTCAGAAGAAGAAAGGTGTATAGTAAACGTGTGCCAGCCAGGGAACAACTTGCTAGCAGCTGGCTACTGTATGTACTCGAGCTCAGTCATCTTCGTTCTTACTCTAGGCAAAGGTGTTTTCGCCTTCACTCTCGACCCAATGTATGGCGAGTTCGTCCTAACTCAAGAGAACATTGAGATCCCCAAAGCCGGGAAAATCTACTCCTTCAACGAAGGTAACTACCAGATGTGGGACGAGAATTTGAAGAAGTACATTGATGATCTCAAAGACCCTGGTCCAAGTGGGAAGCCTTACTCCGCAAGGTACATTGGTAGTTTGGTCGGAGATTTTCACAGGACTTTGTTGTACGGTGGGATTTACGGTTACCCTCGTGACGCCAAGAGCAAAAACGGGAAACTTAGGCTGTTGTATGAGTGTGCACCGATGAGTTTTATAGTTGAACAAGCCGGAGGGAAAGGATCAGATGGACACCAGAGAGTTCTAGATATCCAGCCGACCGAGGTAACACATTTCATGTTTATTTTATTACAAGAATTTAACTAAGTTTAGGTGTCATCAGACTTAACTTTTTTTGTATGATACCTGGCAGATACATCAGAGGGTTCCACTCTACATTGGAAGCAAAGAAGAAGTGGAGAAGCTGGAGAAGTACTTGGCTTGAGTCATGAACCAAACCTAAGCCATTTAATTTATATTGTAAGCCATAAATGATGATGAAAGTTCTATTTTGTTGTTCATATCAATTTAGAGAAGTCTGCTATTTTACCATAGACGCGCAACCAAGTTAAAATTTAAACAAACCTTACTAATAGTTAATTAGGTTTGACCATGGAATAGCAATTTTAAACTTCCATTTATCATTTCAAAAATTAGCACCTTAGTTAGGCAAATGCCGAGGACTTTGCAGCAGTCTCAGCATCATCTGCAAATGAAGCATCAAGAATGAGTGAAAATAGCAAATTTATATTAGAAAAATCAGGTGCAGACTACAAGATGCTAACCTCGAAGATTATGTCACTCCCACTACAAGAAAACACGTCCTTTACTAGGACGGGTTTTCCTCGTTATTTCCTAGTAAATGGCCCTTTACTAGGAAATAGCGAGGAAACGTGTTTCGTCGAAAGACGTTCATCGTAAAGGCTATTTTCCTCGTAAAGGCCTAGCTAATTTACGAGGGAAGGTTTCCTCGTAAAGCCGTGGAAAACATTTCCTCGTAAGCT